CCTGGAAGGGTAGGGGTTTTTACTTGTGACAGGCAGCATGTCGGGTCAAAGGGCCTGTTCCCGTGCTGTAATCTTCTTTGTTCTTTGCACATTTCTCATTTTTCACTTATTTTTCACTTTCAGACATACCTTTTGTACTTCCAGCATTTTCTATTTAATATTTTCAATTTCCATAGTATTTTGCTTTTTGACATATCAATTGAGTTTTTATGTATGTTTGGTTATTTTTGTTGAAGGAACAGCAAAGGTTTAAGATACAAACAAAATGGGTAGCTTTAAGTAGATTCATCAGGGATTAAAATGTTGGAAAATATTCTGCTAATACTGGTAGGGAGTGGTTTTGATCAACTTGACCTAATAGCATTTGGAAGATCAAAGTCAAAAGTACCCAACTGACTGAAAATAGAAAAATAAGCACCATTGTGTTACAATATGGCACAAAAGAAAACTGAGCAAGGGTGTTGCTGGCTGGCCAGCATTTATTGCCTTTGAGAAGGTGGTGGTGCGCTGCCTTCTTGAACCGTTGCAGTCCATGTGCTGTAGATAGATCCATAATGCCCTTAGGGAGGGAATTCCAGAATTTCAACCCAGTGACAATGAGGAATGGCAATTTTTCCAAGTCAGGACGGTGAGTTGCTTGGAGGGGAAATTGAAGGTGATGTTCCTATGTATCTGCTACCCTTGTCATTCTAGATTTGAACCCATGAACACATAAAGGTGCTGTCCAAGGAGCTTTGGTGAATTTGTACAGTACAAATTTGTCCAGTTGAGTTTCTGATCAGTGATAACCCCCAGGATGTTGATAGTGGGGGATTCAGTGATGGTGACACCATTGAATGTCAAGGGGTCATGGTTAGATTGTCTCTTACTGGAGATGGTCATTGCCTGGCATTTGTGTGGTGTGAATGCTACTTGCCACTGGTCAGCCCAATCCTGGATCTTGTGCATTTGACCATGGATTGCTTCAGTATCTGGGGAGTTGCAAATGGTGCTGAACATTGTGTAATCATCGGTGAACTTCACTACTTCTGACCTTCTGATGGAGGGAAGGTAATTTATGAAGCAGCTGAAGATGGTTGGGAAACTGTACTAAGGACTCCTGTAGAGATGTCCTGGCACTGAGATAACTGATCTCCTACAACCACAACCATCTTCCTATGCGCCAGGTATAACTCCAACCAGCAGCGTTTGCCCCGATACCCATTGATTCAAGTTTTGCTAGGGCTTCTTCTTACTAAACTCAGTCAAATGTGGCCTTGATGTCAAGGGCTGTAACTCTCACCTCATCTCTGGGATTCAGCTCTTTCAAGCATGTTTGAACCAAGGCTGTAATGAGATCAGGAGGCGAGTGACCCTGGAAGACCCCAAACTGGGCATCACTGAGCAGTTGCTGCTTGTAGCACTGTCAGTGACACCTTCCATCACCTTACTGATGTTTGAGAGTAGACTGAGGGGGAGATAATTGGTCGGGTGGTATTTGTCCTGCTTTTTGTGCATAGGACATGCTTAGACAATTTGGCATTACCCAAACATATGAAAGTGTTGTAATTGTACTGGAAGAGCTTGGCTAAGGAGGCTGAATTAGATCATCCACTTGGAACTTCTGGCTGAAGATTCCTGTCTAATGCAAGTAATTCCCTTTTTTAAAAAAATGAATTAAAGCATCCGTGCAAGTAGTAGATACGGAAATGTCTTCACCATTAGTTATTTAGTCATCCATTATAATTTATTGGCTATTGAATGTAATTTACCATGTGATTAATAAGGCATTTTGATAGACAGAGTAGAATGATGTGCAGAAGAATGCAGCATCACTCCTGAATTAGTGAAATCCTTCCTTATTTCATGCATGATTAACTAAGCATAATAACTTGCAATATAACTAACATTCTTGTGAATTATTGCATTTGTTCAAACATAATACATTGGAAGTTTCTGACTTGCTCGCTGTGCCGGCTTGTTATTGTTCAAACGGTTCGTCACCATGTTAGGTAACATCATCAGTACCGACAACCACAAGAGGACACAGTATGCCCTAACACAACTGGCCACACTGCCCTACATCAAGAACATATCAGAACTGACAATGAGATTCCTACGACCACTAGGAATCATGGTAACACACAAGCCCACAGCCACTTTACCACAAACACTCAAGGATTAAAGACCCCATTCCCACAACCTGCAGAACCAATGAAGTTTACAAAATATCCTGCAACCACTGCCACATTACATCGGACAGACAGGAAGGAAACTAGCCATCAGAATACACGGACATCAGCTAGCAGCAAAACAATACGATGAACTTTCCTTAATTACAGTACACTCAGAGAGTGAAGGCCATCAGTTTAACTGGGACAAGGTAATCATAGTGGCCCAAGCCAAACACAGACATGCACAGGAATTCCTAGAGGCATGGTTCTCAACCCATAACGTAATCAACAAACATATAGACCCCATATGCAAACCCATACAGAACGAAACCAGAAATGACACTACTCGCCATAACGGACCAGACAGTATAAATTCCAAGCGGAGTAGAACAACTTTGCTTCATTGGAGGCCTCACTGATGATGTTACCTACCATGGTGACGAAACGTCTGAACGAAAACAAGCCAGCTCGGCGAGCAAGAAAACAACCTCACCCACAATCCGAGCTACAGATCTTTGCTAAAGACTTAAATATAATACATTTTTCATGAAATCATAGATCAGAGCTTTTCCCCACATGCAGTTGAAGAGTTTTGCTGAGTGACATTCAAGGCAATCTGTCCCTGACATGGTTCAAAAGAAATCTCTTGTAATCTTCTGTTCTTCACCTCACTAACTATGCAGCTGAGCTCTTTACAGCCGTTCCTGTGGAATCAGTGCTCACCACTGCCAGACCATCCACCGTTGATGCTGCCAGGACCACGTTTAAAACAGAGAAAAAGAGGACTTCAGATTCTGCAGGCAAGATATACCACTAATACTATGGTACTACACCATTATGGTACAGAAAGGCTATGTCAGACATGGGAGCAGAAGGCAGCCAACTGGCACATTAAGTCTGCTTTGCCTTTCAATGAAGTCTTGTTGATCTGATGATTTTCAACTCCACTTTTCTGCCTTTTCCCCATTATTCTTGATTCCCTTATTGATGAAAAGTCTGTCTATCTTAGCCCTGAGTATATTCAAATGTTCCAGCCTCTACAGCCCTCTGCGATACATAATTCCACAGGAAAAAGAAAATTTGTGCTTCGTGGACAAGGGCCAAGAAGTGCTGGTGAACAGTGTGGTGGAGAGGAAGGCTGTCGTTTTTCTTGTGGCTCACGACAGGAGGCCATGCCACCAGATCAAACCAGCCTGGATCAGTACTGTGTCCTGAGTCAGACAATGAAAACATACTGACATGCAGAATTTAAATATGAGTATAGTTGATTACCTTCCTTTGGGTTCAGGTTATACTGCATCTCTCATTTACATTCTCTCACACACACACAGAGTAGCGAGCCTCTCCTGTTTGCTGCTTACACATGGAACTTGTGCTTTCCTCTGTAAATCTAAAACTGATACATTTACAAATGAAATAATAAACTCTTCATAGGTTGTGTAGCAACTGATAAGCATTTGATGAGATCAATATGCTACAGAGTTCCACTACATTGAGTTTGCACAGAAAATTCCCATTACAGATATTGGTAGTTTACCAACTATGTGCCAAGTTACTTCTCATTTGTAAAATGGGAAAACTACTTTATAAAGAAGAGGAGACAACAAGATGCAGAGCTGGATGAACACAGCAGGCCAAGCAGTATCATAGGAGCAGAAAGGCTGATGTTTTGGGCCTAGACCCTTCATCAGATCACCTTGTTGTCTCGGATTCTCCAGCATCTGCAGTTCCTACTATCTCTTATAAAGAAGAGGATCTGCCGAGTCCTGATCAAACTGATGAATACCTTCAACTGGTTCAGTTGCTTTTCCATCAATGATAAATAAGTCTCAGAGAAAGAAGGTAGCTAATGATGTCAATATAGAATTTGTAATTTTCAGCCATTTGTATCTGTCCTGGACAATCTTCCAGAAAAATGTATGATATCATGACTTAGAGCATTTCTGCTTTTAAAAAAAAAGAAATTTATGTGGTTGCTAATCTCATTAAAAGAAAGCAATGGATTCAAAAATCTTATAGGTTTTGTTATTTGTATTATATATGCATCACTCTCAATAATCCTATACCAACTAACACACAAAAGTACATTATAGCTGATGCTGGAAACCTGAAAAAAAAACCCAGAAAATACTAGAGATCCTCAGCATCTCAGATAGCATCTATGGAGAAAAGCAGACTCAACATTTTAGGTTGATACCTAAAAGATTAACCCTTTTCACACAAATGCATGACATGACTCCAGAACCTGTGCAACATCATATCTAAACACTTCAAAGAAGTAATTTTTACTCCATTTTTTTCTCCCTTCAAATCAAATTTTAATCCATTTTGCGATAAATTTCACTAATTACAAATACATTAACCTTATCTAATGTACAGTACATTCACTGTATATGATAGATATTTTCCCACATCTGCCACAACTAAAAGATTGGTTGAGAAGACAAGTCAAACAACTTAATTTTCAAAATTGTTAAATTTGTCTTGACAGTCTTCAGAAATAAAATAATATTGAATAAAAACTGATTCTACTCAAATTATTACAATTCTTAAATGCTATATCCATATTTTGTGCTAATGACTGTCACTCAATTCTATGTGCAAAAATTCCAAGAAATAAACTAATTGACAAAAATATATGCATCTGTCTCAATTTGGCAATGTTTTGCTCACTAATTGCAGTTAATAGAAAAATGTACTTCGTGTAAGCAACATCTATAATTTCATTAAATATTATATCATACATTTAGTCAAGTTGAATCACTAAACTTATTTATTTTCTTCAGTGCCTGGTTAACTCCATGAATTAGTTAGTAATTAAAAACCGACCAATACCAAGGAAAAAAATCATTTTCCAAAATTAATATTTATTTTATATCCAAATATTTTGATAATTTCATCTTCTCTTCATTTTTTTCCTTGTTTGGATTGCCGTAAGGCCATTAAAACATTTTTTTTAATAACCAGCATCCTTTGGAAAAATATACAAGAGCAGTTTTACAATATATTAGCTGTACATGTATCATTTTCTGTACATCCTGAAGTTTCATCAGGGGAGTTTTTGTAGTTTTATGGTAGTTTGCATTTCCCATTTACAATTTTTCTTAAAACCTCTGTTGCCAAAACTTCAGTTGCTGGAATTTTTTTGTTGAGATGCACAGGAACTTCCAAATGTCATAAGTCACCATGTGTTGCTTTGTGCAACAGAAAATTTGTTTTCACATACTTCAGAAAGACAATTGTGTCCTATTTCACGGTACTATGCTTGTTGCTTTCCTTAAAGCCAAATAACCAGTCACAATGTCTGACGGAAGCATACGAATGTAGGAAAACTCCTCTGTGCTGCTAAATCGTAGCTTACTTTGTGGGTCTGTATAATTGGCCTGTAAAAACAAAATCCATATTTAATAAAAACACACAATACTACAGGATAAATTTTGATACAGAGCACTCTTAGATAAATGAGCCATATAATGAGAATACAATGAAATTAGCAGACCAAATGATTAGTGACTTGTTTTAATATACTGAAATCTGCATGGTCACAAATTAGGATATTGTCATTCAGATTCTCTAGTCTTCATACAGTTCAATACTGAATGCACTGGGAACCATCCCAAGTCTCAATGCATTAACAATGGAGGAACTGCCTGTCAAGGTTAAATTTCCAGGAAGAAATTGATGCCCAAAACCCTCTCAGAAAGTCTCCAAATCAGAGATGGAGACTCCAGAGGGTCTGAGAAATTACTCAGGAAACATCAGGGGGATTAAAACTTACTCCAGTCAGTCACTCTCAGTGATGCTCCCCTCCCTGAGATCACTGCACTATCCCTTACCTAACCAGACTGGGATCTCTCACTCAGCCCCACGTCCTTCAGTCACCCCCTCACATCTCTGCCACTATAAACTCTCTGTAGCTTGTCAAAGAGGCTTTGGGACCCTTGAACTATATATATTTTATCATTTGTAGCATGCATGTAAAAACCAGGCAACAGATTAATGATTTTTTTTAATATTCATTCATGAGATGCGTCATTGACTGACCAGCATTTATTCCCCATCCCAGTTGCCACTGAAAAGGCGATAGTGAGCTACCTTCTTCAACTAATGTTGTCCATGTGCTGCAGGTTGACCTACAATGCTGTTAGGGAGGGAATTCCAGGATTTTGACCCAGGAACAGTGATATATTTCCAAGTCAGGAGGGTAACTGGCTTGGAGGGGAACTTGCAGGTGGTGGTGTTCTGATGTATCTGCTGCTCTGGTCCTTCTGGATGGAAGTGATTGTGTGTTTGGAAAGTGCTGTCTAAGGATCTTTGGTGAATTTCTGCAGTGCATCTTATAGATAGTACACACTGCTGCTACTCAGCATTGATGGTGGAGAAAACAAGACAAGACTTGTGGATGTGGTGACAAGCAAATGGGCTGCTTTTTCCTGGATGGTATCAAGCTTGTTGAGATTTGTTGGAGCTGTGCCCATTCAGGGAAGTGAGGAATACTCCATCACACTCCTCACCTTGTAGATGGTGGATATGCTTTGGGGATTCTGGAGGTGAATTACTTGCCACAGTATTTCTAGCCTATGACCTGCTCTTGTAGCTTATACAGTTTATAAAGTTAGTCCAGTTGAGCTTCTGGTGATTGGTAACCCCCTCCAGGGTGGTGATGGTGGGGGGGGGAGCGGGAGTGAAGAAGAGGTATTCTCTGATGGTAACATCTTTGAATGCCAAGGGACAGTGGTTAAATTGCCCCTTATTGGAGGTGGTCATTGTCTAACATTAATGTGGCATGAATGTTACTGGCCACTTGTCAGCTTAAGCCTGGATATTGTCCAGGTCTTATTGCATTTGAAAATGGACCGCTTTAGTAACTAAGAAGTTGTGAATGGTGCTAAACATTGTGCTATCAGTGGTGAACACCCCACTCCTGAACTCTTGGTGGAGGGAGGTTGTTGATGAAGCAACTGAAGTGATGATTGGACTTAGGACACAACCCTGAGGAACTCCTGCAGAAATGACCTGGAGCTGAGATGATTGACGCCCAATCTCTATAACCATCTTCCTATGTGGCAGGTGTAAATCTAACCAGTGGACAGTTTGCCCTGATACCCACTGATCCCAATTTTGCTAGGGCTCCTTTATGCCACACTTGGTCAAATGCAGTCTTGATGTCAAGGGGTATTATTTTTCACTTCATCTCTGGAATTCAGCTGCTTTGTCTATTTTTGAACCACGGCTGTAATGAGATCAGGAGCTGAGTGGCCCTGGTAGAGTCCAAACTGGACATCATTGAGCAGGTTATTGCTGAGTAGGTGTTGCTTGATGATAGTGTTGATGATCCCTTCCATCATTTTACTGATGATCAAGAGTAGACTGATGGAGCAGTAATTGACCAGGTTAAATTTGTCCTGCCTTGGGTGTCCAGGACATACTGAGACAATTTTCTACATTGTTGAGTAATGGATAGATGCCAGTATTACAGCTGTACTGGACCAGCTCAGCCATGATGTGGCAGGTTCTGGAGCACAAGTCTTCAGTATTATTGCCAGAATGCTGTCAGAGACCATAGCTTTTGCAGTGTCCACTGCCTCCAACCATTTCTTGATATTACATAGAGTGAATCAAATCAGCTGAAAACTGGCATCTGTGATGCTGGGAACCACTGGTGAAGACCGAGATAAAAACCAAAAATAGAACACAGACAATAAAACTTGAAAGTACATTTATGTGAACTAACTCACCAAAACAATCCATGTGTTCAACAAAAGCAGACTGAGTTGAAACAACTTTATGAAGCAACGCCATTTAAGGTTATAGATTGTTTTTCAATTAAAAATTCCTGAATATAATGTAATATGATTACAAATAATTAAGGTGCTCAATCAACCAAACTAATTATATTTTAAAAGCCTTGCAGTGCGATAACAGAGAATAAACCTATTTGCAAAACTTGTGTTTTATGGTTTCATCTTGGAGCTTCTTGAAGCTTGGCACTCAGATGGCAATTCCTCTCCCCTTACTGCGATCAGCTGTATTTTACCATAACACCTTTAGTGGCACTTTAACCTTTACTGCCAAGCTTCTTTATTTTTCTGGCACTTACTCTTTCATCCGTCTTCTCATCCCCTTTCTCTATTCTGCAAAGCCTTCAATGCCTGCATTCTATGGCAAATTCTAAGCTAAAATATACCCTCGTGACAACAATCATACTCAATTGCAACCTTCATGTAAATTTCACTAGCTCCCTCTCCTGTCATTATACTACAGTCACATTTTTGTTTGGTTTCACTTTTTTTTTATATTTTAAATATTAATTCTTGACACGTGAACACTGCTGATAAGGCTGACATTTATTGCTCATCCCTAGTTGCCCAAAGGTGATGCTGGGTGATTTCATCAGAATGTCACAGGAAAGTGACGACTCAACCAAATCAATAACGATAGCAGATTTCCTTCCCTGAAAGGTCATTACTATGTGAGTTGGTTTTTAAAAACCACCTGCCAGCTTCATAGTCGCTTTTACTAACATCGGTTTTGTTTAATCTCTAACTTTAAAACAAACATGAAGTTTGCAAAACTGCCTTTTTAGAAGCTGAAATGATATTTTCTAGATTATTAGTTCACGAACATAACTACAACACTACTAAGGTGATCATTTCAATATTGTCATTTTTAAGGTTTTATTACTTTAAAACCCCAATCTGCCTCAAATATATCCATGCTACTGAAGCTGCTTTTTTGCTAACTTTAGCATCAGTCACAGAAATGTATAGTCAGTAGGATATCTGCAGACTGTCAGCAAGACTCGAAAGAGACAGATTACAGGCACAATCTTAGACCAATTCCAAGCTTCTGACGTGCAACTGTGACTTCATTGAATCATATTTTACAAATGAACATTGCCCTGTTTTGGTGACCTAACTAGTGTAACTAATTTTCAAGTTTTATTTTTGATTTTTATTACTATATTGTGTTTTAACTGCTGCATGGTATTTGCATACATGTTGCATATGATAAAATTTACAATTTTGTGCTCCCACGCACATTTCATTTATGGGACTGCAATTTGGGAAATAATTGTGAAAGTCAACAGCCCAAGTCTTCACCTTCGTGGCTGTCCAGGCTACACTAGTCCCATTCCGCTGCAGCCTTGAAAGCCCATCTGTTATGAAATTATTCTGGTAGCTTCTCATGTTGAAGAATATATTGATCTTGTGAGCAGAGCTCCCAATTTATGACCTTAAAAAATTACCTATACATTTAACTTCTGAATCAGTGAAGTCAAATACAGAGAGAAGAATGCGTACGAATATAAATGCCTTTGTCAGTCACCAGGCATTTCAAACTATTTTACAGAGTCATGGTTGTAATACAGGAAGCACCAATTTTCACAGCAAGCTTTCACAAACAGCAATGTAATACCGATCCAATTCTTGATGTATTTTGAGGGGAAAATATTGATCATTACACTTATAGAGTCATAAGAGTCAAACGGCACAGAAACAGACCCTTTGGTCCAACAAGTCCATGCCGAACATCATCCTAAACTAAACTAGTCCCACCTGCCTGCTCCTGGCCCATATCCCTCCAAACCTTTCCTATTCATGTATCTATCCAAATGTCTTATAAACGTTGTACATGTACCACATCCACCACTTCCTCAAGAAGTTCATCCCACATGTGAACCACCCTCTGCATAAAAAAATTTGCCCCTCGTATCTTTTTTAAATCTCTCTCCTCTCACCTTAAGAATGTGCTGCCTAGTCTTGACATCCCCCATCCTAGGCAAAAGACAACTACCATTAACTCTATCCATACCTGTCATTATTTTATAAACTTCTATCAGGTCACCTTTTAACCTCCCATGCTCCAGTGAAAAAGTCCCAGCCAATCCAGCCTTTATAACTCAAGCCTCCACACCTGGCAACATCCTGGTAAATCTCTTCTGAACGCTTCCTTCTGGATATATGTCATCAACTTTTTTTGTGCTGCTGAAAAAGTGGACATGTTTTAACATTTTACCAGAAAAACAGGTTCAAAGGCTTGCGGAAAAGACTTTTGTTTTACGCAGATTAAGTCTGCATTAGTTTTGACAATTGGAAGTTCGATTCTTCAGTAAATCATGATGTACCAGATATGCTAACATTCCTCCCCTGCTGACTCTCTCTTTTTCCCCGCTACACTTTATGCCTCCTGCCTTCTCAAGGCATCGAGTGTCACCCAGAAATAAGTCACACTTGATATCAATTCAAATGGATAACATGTAATGAGCATGAGCCAAGTACTTGATCTTAAATGATGGGAGGTTGGCATCAAATCTAATCATTTCCTCACATACATTCACTTTCCAGCATTACTAGGTAATGATCAGAATTGAGAACCCTGG